CGAATGTTGATGCTGTTTCTAGAACTTGCATTTAATTGGACCAGTGCTCTTTCCTATATACCAAAGAACAAGGGCATGTGAGTAAATAAATACAAAAAATGGTTTTACAATTGAAATATTTGCAGATGTGAAAAGGACTCCCAGAATGGGGATAAAAAAAAGTAAGGCCAAATAGTAATGCATTACAGACACTACATTTGTGACACCTATAACACCCTTATCCTGTTTGAGGAAATGGTTTTGAGTTTTTTGCGCGGGAGCTTCATCATCCCACATTGGCTATATAAGACAACAGAAGACCTTGCACCAAGGAGAAGCAAGAGAGAAGATGCCGGTGCTGGTGAGCCACCTCCTGGATGTTGGATTGTTGGAAAAGAGGTAAGTATTGTGGAGTTTGACACACATGCACTACGAAAATTCAACTGCAGTGAACATTTACTAAATTATACCGAAAAATACTTTTCTGGGATTTTCAAAGTACTTCATGAAATATCAGTTGTGTTATATTTAAGGTCAATATTTTATTCAAACATATTAAAAGATATGGCAGCACTGTAAGCACCCCTTAGTAACATCACACCATTAACAGTTCATATTCTCAATATTGTACAACATTCATTTCTTTGTGTGTGCAAGATGGCAGTGTCAGGCTTGACGTGTTTCGTAAATTCTTCTTCAGGAGCCTTCAGAGCATGTCCAGCTATGATCACTGCAGGTAATTGCTGGCTGTATGAACAGTCACGGATAGCTATGGCCACCGACAGCTTGTCATCGCAATGTATGGGCTCAGCAGCCACAGCCAACTGCCAACAGCTGTCTATCCCAGCTGAATAAATCAGTAGATTCCTGTCACTGGGATCCGCGGTGGGATTGAAAACCTGTGCGAATGCAAAAAGTTTTCTTTTTTGAAGCGTTTTTTCCTTTACTTGTACCTAGTGATGCAGCCAGTATGTCTGTTATTTTTCAACTTACTATAATAAACCAAGCTGTCCAGCAAAAGTGGACAGGTGTGATGACAACAATGGTCAGCAGTTATTCATTTATGTAAAACCTTTATCTAAGAAAAAAACCCGTTGTAGGTGCTTAAAAATAGTTAGCCCTGGTTCACACTGAATGTGACTTTGACATCACGCTATTTCACTTGAAGTAGCGCCATTTCAAAGCCGCAGGTCAGTGCAATTTCAGTTGCAACTTGCCTGACATCTGTGTGACTTTATGCACAGATGTCTATGCATGTCACACCTGAAATCGCTGAAAATAGTGCAGAAACTATTTTAAAAATCAGTCCGACATTGATGGAGTCCGAGTTGCACAGATTTGAACGGTTTCATTGCTGACAATGGGGTGCAAACTAACATTCGATTTAGAACTGTCAAATCACGACAAGTTGCACTGGTGTGAATCAGGACTTAGCTGACATTTTACTTTAATGTGTTAGGTCCATCTAAATCTGCCAGTGCATCTAATACTATCCCCTCCTCAGATTGACAAAACTTCTGTCCAAGGGTGTCTCATTTGCTTCTCCAACCAGTGTGGAAACACCTTTAAACAAGAAGTGTGTTTCTGGTCAGATCACCAGATGAAAATAAAGGAATAAAGGAAAAAAGCCTAAAACAGAAACTAGTGCAGCCTCCACATCTAAGGGCTCATGTACACTGCAGCTGATAAACTCACGTTTAGGAACTGTTCAGCGTTTTTTTTTCAGCAGCCCCTGAACTCACCCTAATGTTTTCCTATGTGTCCATGTACACATCTTCATTTACAGTCGTTTACAGGCAGTTGAGTTTACAGTCGTTTTTTTGAACTCAACAAACTTGCGTTCAGATTTTGATTTTATCAGTATTTCAAACGCAAAACGCTTGTAAAAGCAGCTAAATGCGTCTAAACATGGAAAAACGCGTTTATAAGCGTTTGAAAATTTTTTTTTAAACTTTTCCAGTTCCCAATGCTGTCCAGAGCCTTTTTTCATCATGAAAAATACATGGAAAGAGTTTTCAAGGTGCTCAGATGGACAAAACACTGAACACAGGATGTTCCTACCAAGCTTGTCACACACTGTAATGACCAATTCACACCTCAGACCTCTCCCACCCTTGGAAACAAAAGATATGTTAATGCTCATTCACACCTCAAATTTCTCATGAAGACCCCCTGCCAGGTGACCTTAATGACTCCCTCCACCAGCCACCTTCCCACCCTTGGAAACAAAAGAAATTTTAATGAGCAACTGACACCTAATTATCTCAACACATACTGCTGTCTCTGCTTCTACTGTGTGTATTTCTCTGAAACAGTCTGAAATAGTTAATAATTTACCACTTTTCATTGCATTCTGGGCATTTGGGAGGTTCTCCTGTGCTTATCTTTAAAAAACGTTTCTAAACGCAAACGCACATAAACGTGTTATGCAAACACGGCTAAACAGAAGTTTTTAAACCTATGTTTTCCAGCAGTCAGTTTCCATCGTTCAGAAATATCCTCTGTACATGGGGCCTAAGCATTGGTAAACTGTGATATATTACATGTTGTTTGAGGTTTAATAATAGTGTATAGGACAGAATTCCTATACACCACAGAAAATTGATTTCCACTGGTCAGCATACATCTTATTGTATCCTGCCAGATTCCTTTGTGACAGCATAAATTCTGGAAGGCAAAAAATCCTGCTATTTTGCCTGATAACCCACCTCACCATGCTTGGTATCTTTGCCATTACCAAGCACCAGCATAGGTTGTATACTGTATTTCCACTTCACTCCAACTGACAACCAGTATCAAATATATTGAAATTACAGTTTAGAATTCAGGCTGTCAAGCTATGTTTAACATATCCAAAAATGATGAAAATCTAAATTTTTGATTGTACCATCTTGGTTGTATTGCTGTTTATTTGCACAGCCTGTACAGCTAATGTTTATTTTATGTTTATGGGGGTGACAGAATGCAGAATTAAAATGCATTTATTTTCATATGAGGTGAATCAGCAAACGGAGGAATCATCTACTTTACAATGATAATATGGTAATCTGAATGCTGATTCCTAGTATGTGGGGATTAGTGTTTGGCAGTGTAGAAAATGTGGTGCTATACAATAAATATAAAATATTCATCTGCGACAACCAACTGTGTTATTCAGGTCCTTTAAATGCAAAGCTGCAAATGTTATCTACATTATTTCGATGTGAAATGCTAAGGTTATTATTATTAACTACTGCAGCCCTCTTTAAATAGGACTTTTTATGTGGATGAATAAGACATTGTATAGGATTTAGCAGCATTTTGTTTAGATTAAACAGTCTATTAAAAGCTAGTGCTTAGGTTTAGGGTGTTTGGGTGGTCAGCTCTTGTTAAACTCACTTAACTAATGATTCTGTGCACTTATACTAATGGCCACCTCCAGGCTCCATCACAAGCCAACAGTCTTTCCCCCCATTCTCCATGCACACTTTGACTCATAGTTGGCAAAAAAAAAAACATTCTTCCATATTGTAAAAAAGCCATTATAGTGGTTGTAAAGGCTCAAGGTTTTTTACCTTCTGTGTGCAGCTGCCCCCCCCCCCCCAATCATTCCCCCTCATACTTACCTGAGCCCGTTTGAGATCCAGCTATGTGCTCGAGAGTTTTGGCTCTCCGGGGACTCTCCCTCATTGTCTGAGACAGCAGCGGGAGCCAATGGCAGTCACAACTAGTGAGCCAATGAGGATAGAGAGGGCTACGGCTTTGTATGTGAATGGCCATGCAGAGCAGCTGCTTGGGAGGAAGCCTGCTTGGCTGCCCCCATAGAAAGCTGCTTGCTCTCGGGCCACTTGGCAGAGGGAGGGGCCCGGAGCGCTGGCAGGGAACCAGAGAAGAGGAGGATCGGGGCTGCTCTGTGCAAAACCCTTGCACAGAGCAGGGAAGTATAACATATTTGTTATAAAAAATTGCCTTTAATATCACTTTAACTAGCAGTCAGCAATTAATTAGTGATGACCACTGTTTATTCCTCTTTGTCTCTAGCAGCTGGCTTTTGCTTGGCCTCAACAGTGCTCACACATCAGAACATGCTGATGTAATGCATTGATCTAAAACTACATTTAAAAGCATAGATTTCAGCGGGGGGAGGAGGTTGTGGGGACATAACCACATTGTCAGGACCTAGGTCTGTACCTGCAACCTCTGCAGTGTCTGGCAGTATATCTTATTGCTGTGCCACTTGATAAGCTGGACAGCTTTCTGGACAATTGCTTGAACAATCTAGCCTTGTACCTTGTTTTTGGTGAACCTTAACCTCTTTGCTCCTCTCATGAATTTCCTATTTAACCACCTCCTGCCCGCCATATAGTAATATGATGGACGCAAGGTGGTTCTCTTGTTCTGAGAGGATGTCATATGACGCCCTCCCATTCTCACCGCGCATGCGAGGCTCAGGTAGCGCGCAGCGCGACGATTGGTGGTGTGCTGTGTCCCTCAGACACAGTGGATCACCGATTACAGAAAGAGCCAAAGATGTCAGCTCAGTTATGTGATCAGCTGTGTCCAATCACAGCTGATCACATGTAAACAGGGAAATGCCGGTTATCGGCATTTCTCTCCTCTCGAGCTGTCACGCTGACAGCTCGAGAGGAGAGGAGAGCCAGTAATCGGCTTTCCGCGGAGGGGACATGTACACTGATCATCAGGGCACTGATGATCAGTGTGCCCTGATGATCAGTGTAGCCCCAGAAGTGCCACCTGTCAGTGTCCATCAATGCCTTGTGTCAGTGCCTCGTGCCAGTGCCACATCAATGCCACATATTAGTGCCTACCAGTGCACATGAGTGCCCATCTGAGCTGCCTTTCAGTGTCACCCATCAGTGACAGTCAGTGCCACCTATCAATGCCAATCAGTGGCACCTATCAGTGCTGCAAATCAGTGCCGCCTATCAGTGCCAGTCAGTGCCGTCTATCAGTGTGCATCAGTGCTGCATATCAGTGCCTGCCAGTGCCGCCTGTCAGTGCCAGTCAGTGCCGCCTAACAGTGCCAGTCAATGCCGCCTGTCAGTGCCACCTATCAGTGCCCGCCTATCAGTGTCATGTATCAGTGCTGCCATCAGTGATGCCTGTTAATGCCCATCAGTGCCACCTACCAGTGCCTCCTCATCAGTGCCACCTATCAGTGTCCATCAGTGCAGCCTATTAGTGCCCATCACTGCAGCCTCATTAGCGCACATCAGTGAAGGAGAAAAATCACTTATTTGCAAAATTTTATAACAAAAACTAAGAAAAAGGTTTTTTTTTTTCAAAATGTTCAGTGGTTTTTGGTTTGTTTAAGAAAAAATAAAAAACCCAGAGGTGATTAAATACCACCAAAATAAAGCTCTATCTGTCAAAAAAAATTATAAAAAATGTCATATGGGTACAGTGTTGCATAACCGCGCAATTGTCACTCAAAATGCGACAGCGCTGATAGCTGGAAATTGGCCTGGGCAGGAAGGGGGTATAAGTGCCCTGTAGGCTTGTGGTTAAACCATGCCTTTGCACTTACTTTTTGCCAGATTAGTATGCTCTCTTCAGCCAATATTATGCTCCTGTCGCTCCTTTGCCATCAGCATCTTTGCTAGCAACCTTTGACTTGGTCCTTGACTAGGCTTCCACTTGATCCCAACCCTCAACCACTTGTTATCGACGTTTGGCTTGTTTACTGAATACGCATTTGCTTTGATATATCTGCCTGTTATATCTGCTACTAGACTCTGGCTTGCTCACCTCGTAGTGGGACGATCCCCCACCAAATCTCCACCATCAGAAGCTCTAGTGAATACCAGTCAATGCTAATGCACCTCTGGTGAACCTGTGCCATCCGCCACGGTGGCCTGCTTTTATACTTATCCTGCCGGTCAGTGGGAGCCTCTCTCCTGCTATATACTGGTCTCCAAGCCTGAACCTTAACCATGACCCACAGAGTATCCAGGTTGCATGATGACACAACTGTAGTTTTGAGGAGTACATGGGAGGTTTCCATGATCACCTAGACTTATAGGAAGAGGTTGTATTACACCAGGAAGTGAGATGGCACCTAATAAACAGGCAGGGCTCAAGGAGTAACACAGAGGATTGGAAATGGTAAGTGTTGCATCCCAAGCCTGATTTATGTAGTAGAGGAAAAAGTTTAGACAAATAAAAAAAAGAATCTTTAAAAGATTATTCTGTTTTTTAAGGAAACAATCATAACTGTCATGGAGAGTCTCTACAAGATGAAAAAAGCATTTCCATCACAAAGATTTGCTATTTTGTTTGGGCGCTAAACCTTATGTTGCTTGGTAATGACAAGTCATAATCTAATTGAGTTCATCATTTCTAAATGCTGGGACCTGGTTGGGATACTGGTTGTAAATTAGACTTGTGTAAAATTGTTTAAATAATGAACTTTCATATCATCAAAAAACAAGACATTAGATAATATTTTGTCTTTCTTTGCAATGCAATTAAGCTAATATATGGCCTGATATACAATTATACAATTGTCTGTCTGAGCCCACCCTAGCCCAGGGGTGTATTTACCACAAGGTAAACAAGACATTTGCCTAGGGTGGCATTTTTCAGGGGGGCAGCACTGCCCCTTGGAAGAAGGGACGGAAGAAGGGACTCACACGGCATTGGGACCTGGTGGGTTCCGGCTGCGGGTTTCATAACGTTGTATGCACAACCTGACACTGGTTCCTGGGGATGTCCGGAACTGTGAAGGTGTGTGTCTTTCTCTCTCTCGCCATGGGGGATGGTGGCTGGTGTATGGGGGGGGGGGAGTGATAGTGGAAGCCTCTCTCTGGTGGGGGGCAGGGGTGTTCTTGATCAATGTCAGGTTCTCTCTGCAGGGGGGGCGCCAATTTTTGTGTTGCCTAGGGCAGAACAAAACCTAAATACACCCTGCCCTAGCCACCACATCCTACTGATTGATAGTAGCGGTTTAGAAGTCAGAGTAAGGGAAAACATGTTTTGAGTAACAGCTGCTATGTTTTTTTCTATTTCACAATCTGATCAGCTATATGACATGGTAATTAGAAGAAGTGGCTGTACACAAATACATTTTTAAATATTTGCAGGTGTGGGTGGAAGTAGAGGAAGGCAAACACTACAAAAGTAAATTTGCTTTCAAAGAGTTGAAGTTTTTTAACTTTTTAGGCTTATGTCATACAACCATTTTAGAAACAAATGGTTTTTAACAGTTAGTAATTGTGATATACTGCATGTTTTTCATGAGCAAGTTAAGATGGCTCTGGGATGCTAATTTTAACACAGATAGAATTGTTTCTTCTGTGTGTCCAGCTTCTAGGGTCTCATGTGGTATGTTCAATAAATTTCTGCAAAAAACAAAACGTAGGAATTGCCTCAAAAGTGTTGTAGAGGGACATGAAACCTTATTCAACTGGTGGGATTGGCAACTAGTATAACTAGAACAGAAGAAATTACAATTTTAGGAATAGAACACATTTAGTGCCAGTTCACACTACAAAAATGCACTCCGGATACATTCCGGATACATTTTTACTTACGGTTCACACCACATGCAGTTCCGGTGCAGTTTTTTTTTTTTTTTTTTTTTTTACAAACGTTTTTATTTTGAAAAATAGAGTGTAAAACAACAGTACAGTTTCAAATGATAACAGCAAAAACAAGGTACTTTTGAAAAGTACAATACATAAAATTATATTAGTATAGGAAAGAGAGGAAATAGAAAAAAAGGTAGATTGCAAGTACATGAAATGTGTGAACGATTAAGTAGGCTAAATGTTACTTCTGTCAGCAATATATACCAGTCAGTCTTCACTTGGGATGTTATTAAACATGTAATAAATGTCTATAATCCTTCCAAGATTCCCATTTTTTATCAAATAAGTGCATCTTATCCAATAGGGGTATAATGAATACGCTCCATGAGCATCACAGCATCAACTCTATGCAAAACGGTGGTTAAGGGTACAGTGTTGGACTTCCAATGTGAGGCAATAGCCCACAAAGTGGCAATACAAATAGTATGTATCAATCTCATAATGTCATTAGAGACCCCTGGGATATGAGCCCCCAATAAACAGGTCTGTATAGACAGTTGCACTGGGATACCCACCAATGTGGTAGCCACCTCAGATAACCTGCGCCAAATCAGAGATATGGTCGGGCAATCCCAAAATATGTGAACCAAGGTACCTGTGAGGCCACAGCCCCGGAAACATAAAGGGGATGTTTGTGGGAACAATACATGTAGTCTTGATGGGGTATAATACCATCTGGTTAAAACCTTAAGGGCAGTCTCTCGAACTGAAAGAGATCTAGAACACTTACATATGTTATCCACCATGGAATCCCAGTCCTCATCTGAGAAAATGATACCGCTATCCTCCTCCCATTTTCGTCTATATAAAGGAGGTGTAGGCGAGGAACAGATCAAAAATTGGTGATAAAGATCAGTATAAGGCCAAAATGTGATTTTCTAATCTGTCGGTAATGGTCGGTAATGGTGGTATTCACGAAGAGGAACATCAAGGAGAAAGGCTACATTAAAAGTAGGATCACCAAAAAATGAGGCACCTGGGGGGACAGAAGAGACCAGGTTTAATTAAAATTTGTATTTGGACCAAAGTGTCAGTGAATGAGTCACTATGGAGTTATTGAAAGTAAGTGATCGAGGGAAAATTTTGGACCACAGAATACCCGGTAAGTAAAATGGGCGTATAGATTGAAATTCAAATTTGATCCACGGGATCTGAGAGTTAATAGTTGCCCAATGTGATAACTGTGCAAAGCGAGCTGAGAGATAATATAGCCAAAAATTGGGAAGGCCGAGACCTCCCGTCCGTTGCGAGCTGTACAAAACCGATGAGGTAAAACGTGGGCGTTTATTACCCCAGATAAAGTTATTAATAGTCCACTGAAAATGATCCAAAAATGTTTTCGAGACTGGGACTGGAAGTGCTCGAAAAAGATAAAGTAGTTTGGGCAAAATATTAATTTTAACCGCCGTGACTCTATCTAGAAAGGAAATAGGGTAACCATGCCAAATCTTTAATAGAGTAGAGAGACTTGTTATACATGGTGGATAATTGGCAGCAAATATATCCGAGTATCTAGGGGTGAGATTGATACCCAAATAGGAAATCCGATCCGTAACCCAACGAAATGGAAACGAACTACGGAGAGATGCACCCAGGGAATCAGGAACATTTACAGGCATAATCACCGATTTGGTAAAATTAACAGTGAGACCTGACGCTATAGCAAAGTCATTCAGTACAGCACATAAATTAGGCAATGAAGTTAACGGATTAGTAAGGAAAACCATAACATCATCAGCATACATGCATATTTTGAAATGTGAAACTAATAATGGATAGCCAGAGATATCCGAATGTGATCTAATTGCTATTGCCAAGGGTTCAAACACCAGTGCAAACAAAAGGGGTGATAGAGGACAGCCCTGACGGGTGCCTCTACCCAATGTAAAAAAATCGGAATTACAACCAGGAAACCTTATTCTCGTTTTAGGAGAATCGTATAGGGCGTGTCTACCAGCCAAAAGCTCATCACTGAAGCCCATTTTCTGTAACAAGGAAAACAAATAGGGCCAAAGAACACTGTCAAAGGCCTTGTTTATGTCCAGGCTCAGCAACAGAACCTCTTTGGAGTGTAAATTAGCATCCTGAATAACATTTAGTGTAAGGCGAATGTTATCAGTAATAAGTCTGTCTGGAATAAAACCCGATTGGTCTGGAGAGACCAAAGAGGAGATAATAGGGGCCAGCCTGTTTGCCAAAATGTGGCTAAATATTTTCAAATCATTATTCATTACTGAGATTGGTCTATAGTTTTATGGTAAATGGTGGTCTTTCTGTGGTTTGGGTTTTAAAGACATATTAGCTAACAGCATCTCCTCGGGGAACTTACCACCTCGCAAGACATCATTAAATAAAGTTATCAAATGGGGAGCCAATGTCGGGGCAAAGTGTTTATAATAACTAGCGGTGAATCCATCAGGACCCAGCGCAGTAGAACTGTTTAGCGCGCTGATCGCACAAGTTATTTCCTCTAGGGTACAAGGGGCATTAAGAGAAGCTATCTGAGAGGGTGTGAGAGCAGGGAGGGGTATAGAATGCAACCATGAATCGGAAGGTGGAACAGAATTCGACAATGGAGGGGCTAAAAGGTTAGGAATGGTGCAGTTTTGATGCAGTTTGGTCCAGTATGGTTCTGTGCAGAAAACATGCAGCATGTTCTACTTTTTTTCTGCATCAGAAACTGACTGGAACTGACT